GCAGTGCAGATGGACAATGACCCAAAGCATACTGCAAAAGCAACTAAAGAGTTTTTTAAGGGAAAGAAGTGGAATGTTATGCAATGGCCAAGTCAATCACCTGACCTGAATCCGATTGAGCATGCATTTCACTTGCTGAAGACAAAACTGAAGGGAAAATGCCCCAAGAACAAGCAGGAACTGAAGACAGTTGCAGTAGAGGCCTGGCAGAGCATCACCAGGGATGAAACCCAGCGTCTGGTGATGTCTATGCATTCCAGACTTCAGGCTGTAATTGACTGCAAAGGATTTGCAACCAAGTATTAAAAAGTGAAAGTTTGATTTATGATTATTATTCTGTCCCATTACTTTTGGTCCCTTAACAAGTGGGAGGCACATATGCAAATTGTTGTAATTCCTACACCGTTCACCTGATTTGGATGTAAATACCCTCAAATTAAAGCTGACAGTCTGCAGTTAAAGCACATCTTGTTCGTTTCATTTCAAATCCATTGTGGTGGTGTATAGAGCCAAAAAGTTTAGAATTGTGTCAATGTCCCAATATTTATGGACCTGATTGTATATAGCTGCACCATATTCTGAGTGCTCCAGTTTTAGTAAAACTACCCCCATATATTTATCAATCAGTACAATGTAAATTATACAATACAAACCTTAAACAGTTGTATTGACACTTGGCCTGACCTGCTGTGTTCATATAAGGTGAACCTGTCAGCAATGAAAACAAACTAACCTGCCATCGTAAGAGGAATCTCGTATCCTCAGGTGCATTTGTATGCCTTCATACAGCTCCTTGGGTAAACTGTAGCCCTGTAACACCGAAGTCTTGGTTTTGGCAGAGCGTTTCCCTTTTCCACACACTCCCTATTGGTCCTTCATGTGCAACCTCACAAACAAGGAATGCACCAAGGGAGGAGGCGGGCCAGCACAAGAATGTCTCTATAAAAAATCGTATGTTATAGCTTCTCAGGTTTTGGGGTCCTAGGGGTTTCTTGAAGGTGTATGGGGGCACCTGATGATGTCTGCCAGTTTTTACATAGTTACATAGTTAGTCTGGCTGAAAAAAGACAAACATCCATCTAGTTCAACTATTAAAAAAACAAAAGAAAAAAGTTTTAATCCTATACCCACAGTTGATCCAGAGGAAGGAAAAAAACCCAACAAAGCACAATCCAATTTGCTCCTGCAGGGAAAATAATTCCTTTCTGATCCCCCGAGAAGCAATCAGATATTCCCTGGATCAATTTTACCTATAAATGTTAGTAACCAGTTATATTATGTGTATCTAAGAAAGAATCCAGGCCATTTTTAAAGCAATCCACTTAGCTGGCCAGAACCAACTATTGAGGGAGTCTATTCCACATTCTCACAGCTCTTACTGTGAAGAAACCTTTCTGTGTTTGGAGATTAAATCTCTTTTCCTCCAGACGTAAAGAGTGCCCCCCTTGTCCTCTGTGATGACCTCAGGGTGAACTGTATATTCCAGATGAGGTATTACTAATGATTTGTACAGGGGTAAAATGATATCTCTCTCTCTGGACCCTAGTTTAAAATTGAACTGTGACCAGGCTATATATGTTCATATATTTATAAGCATAAATGAGCTTAATAACAAGCCCTCGCTGACCTCTGTAGCTGCAGGCACTGTGGAGTCATTCATCCTTTAAGGTTTAACATAGAAACACTTTCATTGCAGCAGCTCATTTTCCCCTGCTCTTTCCTCCCAGCAGTGACTGAGCAGCTTAGATTACTCTGTTGCCTTCTTTGAGAAGAAACTCATTAGCTTCCAACACCCTGCTCCCCTCCACCGCCAGCAACATCTTAATAGTCCAGATCACCCCGCTCCTCCTTCATTAGTCCTCCTCATCCTGTTCATCGCTTCTAGCAGTGATTCAGCAGCTCAGATCACCCTGTGCCCCCTTCCCTGCAGTGACTTGGAAGCTCAGATCACTCTGCTCCCTTCTTCAAGCAGCATCTCTGTAGCTTCCAACACCCTGCTCCCCACTCCCAGCAACGACTCAGTAGATCAGATCACCCTGTTTCCTCCCTTAGTAGTCCTCCTTGCAGCCAGTTGGCAGCCTATAAGCCTTTCAATCTGAAATGAGAGCATAGTGCTGCTGAGACCTAACCTGAAGGCTTGTGAAAGCAATTACTTCACAGTACCTGCAGTTACAAAGGTCAATGAGGGCTTGTTTGTAGTCATTGTTGCTAGTTAAAGATCTGCAAATATTTGAATGTTCATAGCAATGCACTAATATTTAAAGGTCCATAGTCTGGCTACAGTTTTACTTTAAATAAATCTGTCAGTCATTAAGAGTGCATAAAATATGTTTTGAAATATATTTATTCTAGATTTGCCTTCCCAAGGTTTCTTACAATTCCTTGTCCCCACTTGTTTTTTGGGACAGGAAGTAAGCAGGTTCACAGACAATGGTAAGAACCCAACAGAGATTCCCTCCCATCCCCAGTCCATCTAAAATCACGTTTGCTGAAGTTGCGCTTTAATGTTATCATGTCACACTTTCTTGTAGGTATGATGACCATCTGGTGGTCCCCATCGTGGAGAACACACCAGAAGAGAAAGACCTTAAAGAACGCATGGCGAAAGCCATGACAGATTACCCGGATTCCTGCGCCGTGCTGGTTCGCCGCCATGGAGTCTACGTCTGGGGAGACACCTGGGAGAAAGCTAAGACTATGTACGTGTGTTTATATGAAACCATAGCACTGTGAAAAGTTTTAAGTGGCACGTTTCTGTATTCTTAGTTATCCAAGGATTCCCTGAGCATGGCAAGGCTAATTGTGGAAGTCTGTAATATGGTTTTAGATGCATCTAAATCTTAAACTCTTCACCCCGGCGCCTCCTGGTCCTTTAAGAGATTTCAGATGCCGGGAGGCGGGGTGGGGGGTTTTAGGGTCACTGTCACGGCGGTCACATGATTGGAAAATGTCCCAATCGCAAAGGGAGATCGGGACCTTTCCGTGAGACACCAACATATGTGCTTGGAACGCGCAGGGCGTGCGCTCTCAGCACATATGCGTTTTCAAATGGTATGCAAATATGCAACCCCTCAGTGTCAAGGCCCAGCCTCCGAGAGGCCACATATTTGCATACAGTCGGCGTCAAGGGGTTAAAATGGGACTAAACTATGAGTGAAGATTTGCTATCTTGTAGGAAACATCTAGAAATGTTGTTTGTGCCTAAGCATTACCCTGATAAGTTCTTGAAAAATAGTAGTACACTCCTGGTATGTAATGTAATGTTCTTAGGCACTCCTGTCACTTACAGCGTCCTGTGTATCTGTATTGTGAGATCATCAAAGGCATTGCTGCCTCTGACTACTAGTTTGAGAGATTGGTGATGTTACTTACTGTGCTGCTCACTGTTCCCCTTGCTGAAGGCTTTGACATGGGGAAGCAAAGCCCTGCCTCTACCAAGATGGCCACCTTCACACAGAGAGACAGTGCAGAACAAGGCATGGAAGTCAGTAATAGGGAAAGATCAGAAGCAGGGAGACCACGGGCAATACTGGTGACCAGCGCTCCGCTCTCTGCTTTCAGAGTTCAGTTCCTTTTTATTAAAAAAAAAAACAAAACATATGATGTTCCCATACCATGCACTATGTAAGGCCCTCCCACTACATACCATGCACTCCCATAGCCCATACCATACCATGCACTCCGAATGTTCCCATACCATGCACTATGTAAGGCCCTCCCACTACATACCATGACTCCCATACCCCATACCATACCATGCACTACGCGTATTCCCATACCATGCACTATGTAAGGCCCTCCCACTATATACCATGCACTCCCATACCTAATACCATACAAGGCACTACGCATGTTCCCATACCATGCACTATCTAAGGCACTCCCACTATGTATCATGCACTCCCATACCTAATACCATGCAAGGCACTACGCAGGTTCCCATACTATGCACTATGTAAGGCACCCCACTACATACCATGCACTCCCATACCTTATACCATACCATGCACTACGCATGTTCCCATACCATGCACTATTTAAGGCCCCCCATTACAATGTTGCAGAGAGAGGTGCTGATATCACCATGTCGGTGACGCCCTCGGCATCATTGAGGACTTGCCATGTACAGTAGATGATGTACAACTTTACTATTCTGAAGACATCAGAATATAATATAAATTTAAGTAAGTAGCAAAAGCAAAAAAATAACTGCTTTGAGGGCTTTCAGAGGTGGGCTGGGGATCGGATGGGAACTGGACTTTAAGAAAATGGAAAAAGCAGTGCTGGGCCAGCATCATTCAACAACAAACGCTGCTCTATGCCAGCCTTTCTCAATCTTTTTAATTTGAAGGAACTCTTGAATTAAGTTTCAGGTCTCAAGGAACTCCTACTAATATCCACTATATCTAGAGCTCATGGTACATTCACAGTTAGCTGAATAAGTAACAGAATAAGAATGTGACATACTTGGTGTATTTAACACCCAAGGCTGCTCTTTAAGACACATTTATTTTCAGTAATAAATAAATCCGTAATAAGTAATTAGTAAAATGTGGCCCATCTCCCAGTGACCATCAATGTAAGGAGGCCTTGCTAATTACCAATACATAGGAAGCATTTCACAGACCATCAAAGTAAGGGTCACCTTTTTTTTTACTGATTATGTGTGAACGTAGCCATATACACTCACTGGCCACTTTATTAGGTACACCTGGCTAGTGCCAAGAAAGTATCCCCCACACCATTACACCACCACCACCAGCCTGAACTGTTGACACAAGGCAGGATGGATCCATGCTTTCATGTTGTTCACGCCAAATTCTGACCCCACAATCTGAATGTCACAGCAACCAGTCTGCCCATTCTCCTCTGACATCAACAAGGCATTTTTGTCCACACAACTGGCGCTCACTGGATATTTGAAAGCTTTAAACAAACATCCAAGAGTACAACACCCCCCCCTTCATCAGGGCTTAGGAATTTTGACTGTACTTAAAAGTGATACTAAAGGTGCACTTAAAAAAAAAACATAAATAACAAACATGTTATACTTACCTGCTCTTTGTGTTGGTTTTGCACAGAGCAGCCCTGATCCTCCTTTTCTCGGCTCTACGCCGATGCTCCTGGCACCTCCGTCTTTCTGAGTGCCCCCAAAGCAAGCTGATTGCTCTAGGGGCACTTGTGTGTGCTCGCTCCCGAGCTGCCACTGTGTATCTATGAGACACATAGAGTGCAGCTCAGACCTACCCTCTGCTACCTCCTTAGCGGCTGTGATTGACAGCAGTGGGAGCCAATGGCTCCCACTTCTGTTTCCCACATGCATAGAATGCACAAAGGGAAAGAACCTTCAGCCTTTAGAACCACTTTAAACAGACTCAGGTAAGTAGGTACCAAATAGATCTCTACTGCGATTTACTGCTTGGAACAGTTTCAGCGGGGTAGGTTAGTTAGTGGTCAGTGTAGTGCCCCTTACATTGATGGGGTCAGGGAAATACTCCTTAGCACTGGTGCACAATGAAAAAGGGCCCCCATTATATTGGTAGTCATTGGGAGATGGGCCACCTTACACAGATAGACAGTGGTGGTGAGTGGGACGAATGCCCTTAGCTAAAATAATCACTGTTGCCAGCAATTTATTTATCTGAGGGGGTAAAAGTTGCTCATTACTCAAGGAACCCCTTGCAACCTCAGGAGAAACCCTAGGTTTAGAACCCTGGCTGACAAAGGCTTCCATATACATTTCTACTTTACACAACCTATTCTAGTAGCATACCTCTGTATGAGAATTCTCTAGTGTCTCCGAAGGCAGGTGTCCTAATAACTGTACTGTGTCCATTCCAGGTGCGAGTGTTACGATTACCTCTTCGACATCGCCGTGCAGATGAAACAGATCGGACTGGATCCGGCAGCTCTCCCTGCAGAAGAAAAAGGAATTGTTTAAATTGATCTTCACATTATTTACAGCACAATAAACAACCGAACTTTGTCCGCACAGGACGCCGATTCTCATTCTGTAAAGTGATCGTCCTCTTTCTCTGTGATGTCACCACTGGTTTTATATTCTGATGTTTTGATCTTAGTATGAGGTGCCAGTCATACCTAGTGTTGTGTTCGAAAATCAGAGCAGTTGAACTTTTAATAAACATTAGAGAAGGTAAGTGTATGTGTGTGCGTGATTATAAATGTCACATCGTTCATTAGTACATTTTGCTACCACTTGGATTAATCGACTTTGTTTCATTTAAGAGAATTTCTAGGAAAACCTGGAATCTTGTGCATATTTAGAACCCCTCTATTGTATTAGACCTCTTGCATATAGGATGTTTTTTGTTTGTTTGTCTGTTCTTTTTAACCAGTTCCCTACTGCGGTATAGCCGAAGGACGGCTACATCGCGGTTGTCTGGTTCTGGGACGTCCATGGACGTCCTTCCAGAATACACCCCCTGCGCACCCCCAGCAGCGTGCACCCGGCGCCGCTGGTGATCGCTGTGTCCTACGGACACAGCTGATCACGGGATACGGTAAACGTCCAGTCACAGCGGCCTTTTACCACGTGATCAACTGTGTCCATTGACACAGCAGATCACCGGTAAATGCAGTTGCCAGTTATAGGCTGCACTTTCCTCACGAAAGTGCTGCAGATAACCGGCAATTGTCAGAGAAGTGATCGGCACTGATCATCAGTGCTCTGACCATCAGTGGTGCCCACCTGTGCCCATCAATGGCACCCACCTGTGCCCTGCAGTTCCACCTATTCAGTGCAGCCCTGCAGCCGCAACGCACATCAGCGAAGGAGAATAATTTCCTCTTTACAAAATTTCATAATAGAAGCAAAGAAAAACTTTTTTTTTTTCAAAATTTTTGCTCTTTTTTTGTTTATAGCACAAAAAATAAAACACCCAGCGGCGATTAAATACCACCAAAAGAAAGCTCTATTTGTGTGAAAACATTATAAAAATTTCATATGGTTGCATGACCTCGCAATTGTCAAAGTGCAACAGAGCTGAAAATTGGCCTGGACAGGAAGGGGGTAAAAGTGCCTGGTAGGCAAGTGGTTAAATTCCCTGAACACCCTTCGATCCAGGGGAGGAAAAAGCAGCTTAAAAATGCTGTCCTTTTGTGTATGAGACCTTAATATACAGCTCTGCTTCCCCTTCCTGCAGATCTCAGAAATTCTCTGGACAGAGGTCAAATACAGATTTCATTTATAGTGCCATCTAATGGAAAAATTTGAGATTGCATCAAAACCTGAAGAAATACACAGGGTGGAATTTACTAAAATTGGAGCAGATAGAACTGGAGCAGCTGTGCATGGCAACCGGTCAGCTTCAGTTAAGCTTTGAAAATGCAAAGCATTTTCTGAATGAATGCAAAGTGTTCTCTGATTGGTGAATGCTCAGCCATTCACGGGAAGCTTTGTATTCTATGAATGAATACAATGCTTCCTCTAATTGGCTGTGGTGGAGAGTGGAGAGGCGGGTGGATGATGTCACGATCTCAACTTAAGCCAATCAGAGGAAGCTTTGTATGCATTCATAGAGTACAATCAGAGGAAGCTTTGTATGCATTCATACAAAGTTTCCCGTAGCTGAAGCTACATACAGGTAATAGAGAAAGGGCACCTGTTAGTGCAGTAAATAGTTGGATTGCGCCATCTAGGCCCATGAGGACTTTTTAAAGGAACATAAAATGCAAAGATCAGACTTAGGGTGTTTGTAAACCGTTCCATATACCCTGTGAAGTGACTGGCCTTAGGAGAATTTGTTTAATCTTTGTGTATCACCTAAGTTGTAACCAGGGGTGGACTGACAACTCATGGGGCCCCTGTATCCTTGCCCAAACTCAAAAAAGCCTATGAAAAAGGTACCAGGGGCATCTCATGGGGCCCCTTACTGACCCCCCCGGCCCTCGGGCAGTGCCCGAGTTTCCAAATGGTCAGTCCGCCCCTGGTTGTACCCGTTTATCTACAGCTGTCTTTCCCCTAAAAGCAGGGGGTGCAGAACTGAAATTACATCAGTGAGAACTCTGAGAGCAAATTGGAGGGAATGGGCACACCCCCTTAACACAGCACACAGAAACAGAGCTAAGGCTGTCAATCATAGGCTGTGCTCACCTCTGTCACCAATTTTTTTTTGGTGTCAGGAAAACATGTCAGAAGTGAGTCATGCTGATAGCAGAGGAACAAGGCAGCGGACAGAAATGACACTTAGTGCTCTGGATTGAGACAAGCACACATACACACACACACTTGTTCATATTTCATGTCTGAGGTTTACAATCCTTTTGATAAGGCCACATGGCATGGTGAACCTCTACATCCTTCAACTGAGCTGCAGTGCTTCCCGCCTCGTGTCGGAGTTCTAGCTAGCAGGCATGGTTGATGCTGCAGCAATTTTATCAAAGTTGAGTATGTTATCTTATAATGAACCTGTGTTCACTTTAAAATCCCTAAGTTGCAAGAAGACGTGCAAAGGAAGCACATGGAAGCTCTACCCAGTTTCTAAAGCTGCCTAGCAGCCCTGAAGTCTAGGGGATCACTGATATGCAAATTATGACATTTGTTCCTTCAGTAGATGTGTTGGCAGGTTAAAGCCCATCTCCACTCCTCCCTGAACACTCCCCATTTCCCCCCCTTCCCCCTTTTTTTTTCAAATTCTCTGTATACTGTAAATACCTAAATCCCAAGTGTTATCTGGCTAAGCCATTGACATCCAATAAGCCATGGGTCCTTTATCCTATGCCCTGGAGTGCAGTCCTTACAGGACATTGCTCATGTAATTACATATGGGTGACCTTCTGTGCTGTAATACAGCCCAGGCCAGTGCAAGGCCATCTACTGGAGAAAAGGACTTTCTGTGGGGGGGGTAGCAGCACTGGATTGAAGATGAGTATTTTTTTAATGCTAGGCAAATCATTGTTTTTATTTTTTTTGTTACGTGCGTACAAAAATATATATGCATTCATGCATAAATGTGATCTTTGGCTGAAAAATGAATGGAAGAAGAATTTTACAGGTGGTGTTCACTCGTCTATAAGAGTGTAAACATAAGCACTTTACTGATCTGCCAGAAAAATTCTGCGTAAACACATCAGTAATTTGTTTCTGCACGTGTGTGAGCCAGCCATAGATGGATCAAACCTTAAATGTTCAACAGGGATCGGCCAAGATTTGATTCATCTATGAGCTGGTTGTACTGATATTGATCCATCGATTGACTTTAGTACAACCAGCCTGTCAGATTTTTTTCATATGATCACTGCCGGTGGTTATAGTCACCAGCAGTGATCATTGTGTTCTGCCAGTGGGGAATGCTGTCTGCTAGCAGAACACAGAAGCACTGCAGGAGCACTCCCTGTTGATAGGATAATCTAGCTACAGTATTTGTTTGCAGGAAAGAAAATTGCTTAATGTAAGCCCTGCCTTAGGCTTGATACATATGGGCTCATTCCCCCAAACAGTGTAAACTAGACAAGTGCATACTGGAAATTTTAGGTCTCAGATGCATTTGTTCATTGAAGAATTTTGTTTCATCTGATTCATTCTATTGAACCGATTCATTTTCGGAATTTGTTATGTATCTTCAGCATTCGTTTCGTATATTCTTTGTTCCGGATGGATTCGAAAAAGTTTGCAGTTTTTTCAGAAGATTGCTATATACACTATACTGGCTATTGACTCTGCAGACAGTTGGCGACTTCTGCGCACTGTGCGCTTCAGCATGCGCTAACCCCGCTCTGTCATGTGACGTGGCCTACCACTTGGTGGCTGAGTTGCTGTTGTTCCCAGTTGCTTCCACTTTGTTATAATCCCACTAACAGTTGACCGTGGAATATTTAGTAGCCAGGAAATGTCATGGATGGACTTATTGCACAGGTGGCAACCTATCACGGGACCACGCTTGGGTGTCACTGAGCTCCTGAGAGCGACCCATTCTTTCACAAATGTTTGTAGAAGCAGTCTGAGTGCCTAGGTGATGGATTGTATATACCTGTGGCCATGGAGGTGTTTGGAACACCTGAATCCAATTATTTGGAGGGGGGCCCAATACTTTTGGCAATATAGTGTATATTCAATATATTATCGAATTGGTCAGATTGAAATCAGAAGGATTGAATATTTTTGGACTCTAGTTTAACCCACCAAGAGAAATGGCATGAGCTAATTGGACAGTATCGACTGGCATCATGTGTGTTCAAATTAACAAATGAAACAGAATTTTGATCCATTAATGATCCAAATCAAATTATCGAACATGTGACATCATCTGAATTAAACAAATGGAATTAATACATTTGATAATTTTTTTTTCAGATTTGTTAACATTCGTTACTATGTCCATTCAAAGATTTGTATACATCTGAATCTCCAAAAATCACATTTTTGTCCGCAAAACTATTCGAAATGCTCATGTCTAGTGTAAATATGCTGCCATGTCATGGTGCTGTGTACTGCCAGGGTCATCTTAATAGTATCATGGGCCCCTACCTGCCCAATTTACGCACCTACTCTCAAAAGTATAGAGTTGATAGAATTAAACATACACTATATTGCCAAAAGTATTGGGACACCCCTCCAAATCATTGGATTTAGGTGTTCCAATCACCTCCATGGCCACAGGTGTGTAAAATCAAGCACCTAGGCATGCAGACTGCTTCTACATTTGTGAAAGAATGGGTCGCTCTCAGGAGCTCAGTGAATTCAAGCGTGGTACCGTGATAGGTTGCCATCTGTGCAATAAAGACATGGAGGAGCCAGTTTGGGGTGGAGCAACTTGACTGGCCTGCACAGAGTCCTGACCTCAACCCCATAGAACACCTTTGGGATGAATTAGAGCAGAGACTGTGAGCCAGGCCTCCTCCCCCGACATCAGTGCCTGACCTCACAAATGCGCTTCTGGAAGAATGGTCAAACCTTCTCATAGACACCCTCCTAAACCTTGT